TGTTCTTTTAATTTCAGGGACAGATGACTTGCATGATAACAAGATAAGCCATATAGATAAATAGTATGGATAGAAAGATAGATAAGCATTGAAAACTTATAGATAGCTAGAATAGATAGAGATATTGATATTTGTTTTTTATTCATTTACTCGTCCGTCATATATTGTCTACTTGTATTCACTCACTATATTTACTTCTCGGCTATGTGCTCTTTTAGGTAATGATCGATAATTGATGATGGTTGATAGGGGTGATCTGATGATGATGATGGTGATGGAGGTGATTGATGAATGAATCGGTGATGGAGGTGATTGATGATGATTGATGGTGATGGATGGTGATGATGATGATGGATGATGGAGGTGGATGAGGTGATGGAGGTGATTGGATGCATGATGGTGATGGAGGTGATTGATGATGATGTGATGGAGGTGATTGATGATGATGGTGATGGAGGTGATTGATGATGATTGTGATTGATGCGAGGTGATGATGATGATGGCTGATTGGAATGATGATGATGTGTGGAGGTGATGTGATGATGATGATTGATGATGATGGGGTGATGGATGGTGATATGATGATGGTGATGATGATTGATCGATGGTGGTGGAGTGATTGCTGATGATAGGTGGTAGGAGGTGATGATGATGATGGTGATGAGGTGATTGATGATGGTGTGAGGTGATTGCATGATGGTGTGGAGGTGATTGATGATGTGATGGAGGTGGATTGATTGATGGGGGATGGATGGTGGTGGAGTGTGGAGTGATGATGATGGTGGTGGTGATTGATGATGATGGTGGTGGAGGTGATTGATGATGATGTGGTGATTGGGGGTGATTGATGATTGATGGAGGTGATTGAATGATGGTGATGCGGTGATGGATGATTGATGGTGATGGAGGTGATTTGATGATGGATGGTGATTGATGATGATGGTTGGAGTGATTGTGCATGATGGTGATGGAGGTGATTGATGATGATGGTGCATGGAGGTGATTGATGATGAATGTGATTGATGATGATGTGATGGTGATTGATGATGGTGGTGGAGGTGATTTGATGATGATGGTGATGGAGGTGATTGGATGATGGTGGTGATGGCTGAATTGATGGATGATTGGTGTTGGAGGTGATTGATGATGATGGTGGTGGAGATGATTGGTGAGGTGATGGATGGAGGTGATTGATGATGATGGTGATGAGGTGATTGATGATGATTGATGTGATGGTGAATGGAGAGAGTGATTTGATGATGGGTGAAGGAGGTGATTGATGATGATGGTGATGGAGGTTGATTGATGATTGATGAATGGGAAGTGATTGATGATGATGATGATGGTGGAAGTGATTGATCATGATTGATGATGGTGATGGAGCGTGATTGATGGTGATTGATTGATGGTGATTGGAGGTATGATGATGATGGTGATGGAGGTGATTGATGATGGTGATGGATTGGTGATGGTGGATGATTGATGGAGGTGATTGATGATGATGTGATGAGGTGATGGGATGATGGATGGTGATGGAGGTGATTGATGATTGATGATGATGGAGGTGATTGATGATGATGATGGTTGATGATTGATGTTGATGGTGATGGAGGTGATTGATGATGATGGTGATGGAGGTGATTGATGATGGTGATGGAGGTGTGAATGATTGATGGAGGTGGAGGTGAATGATGATGATGGTGGACGGTTGATTGATGATGGTGATGGAGGTGATTGATTGATGGTGGTGGAGGGTGATATGATGATTGATGGTGATGGAGTGTGATTGATGGATGGTGGATGGAGGTGATTGATGATGATGGTGATGGAGGTGATTGATGATGATGGGTGGTGGAGGTGATTGATGATGGTGATGGAGGTGATTGATGATGATGGTGATGGAGGTGATTGATGGTGATGATGATTGTGATGGATGATGGAGGTGATTGATGATGATGGTGGTGGAGGTGATTGATGATGAAGGGTGATGGAGGTGATGATGATGATGGTGATGTGATGGTGATTGATGATGATGGTGATGGAGGTGATTGATGATGATGGTGATGGAGGTGATTGTGATGATGGTGATGGAGGTGATTGGATGGAATGGTGATTGGAGGTGATTGATGATGATGGTGATGGAGGTGATTGATGATTGATGGTGATGGATGATGGATTGATTGATGATGGTATGGAGGTGATTGATGATGATGGTGATGGAGGGATTGATGATGATGGTGATGGAGGTGATTGATGATGATTGTGATTGGAGGTGATTGATGATGAGATGGTGATGGAGGTGATTGATGATGATTGGTGATGGAGGTGATTGATGATGATGGTGATGGAGGTGATTGATGATGATGGTGATGGAGGTGATTGATGATGGTGATGGAGGTGATTGATGATGAATTGATGATGAGATGATGTGATGATGGTGGTGGGTGATTGATGATGATGGTGATGGAGGTGAATGGATGTGGATGGAGGGTGATTGATGATTGATAGAGATTGATGGATTGATGGTGATGATGATGATGTGGTGGAGGTGATTGATGTGATGGTGGGAGGTGTATTGATGATGATGATGGAGGTGATTGATGATGATGATGGTGATTTGATGATTGATGATGATGATGGTGATGGATGATTGATGATGATGTGATGGGAAGGTGATTGAATGATTGATGAGAGGTGGTGATGACGACGATGATGATGGTGATGGAGGTGATTGATGATGATGGTGATGGAGGTGATTGATGATGATGGTGATACTAATGACGTACTTAGTGTAGCTCGTTTCGAACCAACTCGGGCCTATCATCCATAACGACATCAAAGTTAGTTAGGATACGACGTTGCAACTTCCAGCGGACAGTCAGCCGCCATGGGAGAGGGGGGGGGGGGGGGACTTGTTTAAAAAGGAGTTTTATAGAGTTTTGAAAAGAGATTAGGATCGATCGGGTTTAAAATCTTCTCCAAGGGATTCGGAAAAGTTGGGGTGTACGGACCCACCGGAAGCGGCTGGGGAAGGCGTGGAGGGTGGAGGTTTTCCCTCTTCTTGGATTTGTACGATTGAGGTTGATGCACGTACACACGCGTATGTACACGCACACATACCCGCACACAAGCACGCACGCACATGCACGCACACCCGCACACACACGCACGCACACACACACATACACACACACACACACACACACACACACACACACACACACACACACACACACACACACACACACACACACACACACACAACACACACACACACACACACACAAACACACACACACGGAAGAGTTTTTTAGAGAGCGCCGTTCAGTGCTCTCGGGGGGGGGGGTGAAAAAAGCTTGTCCGACGCCTTCCCAGCATCCCGCGGGGAGTCACTGCCCCCCTCCCCACCACCCCACCCCCCACACACACACACTCCCCCCTTACCCCCCCCCCCCCACACACACACCCTTTTATTCCATCGCCCGCGAATAAGAGGCTGAGTGGCCCGGATTTCCACCTGCGGGGAGTACGCGCGGGGGAGCGGCGACGGGGGGCGTGGGCGGGGGGGCGTAAGAGCGCGGGATTCCGCATTACGTCTGAGCGGCTGTCATCATCTGCAAGGTGGGGGGGAGGTTTACGGGGGGTGAGAGGGGGGTCAAGGGGTGGAATATTATATGTTAATTATTTTTTGTGTTAGCGCGCTTGTGTATTTGTATGTACAAGTATGTATTTACAAACAGGTAGACAGCCTGATACACACACACACACACACACACACACACACACACACACACACACACACACACACACACACACACACACACACACACACACACACACACACACACACACATGTATATATCTATATCTATATTTATCTATCTATATGTATGTGTGTGTGTGTGTATAAATATCGTCCAGTTCACTTACATAAGCGGGAGGCGCAGAAGCCCTGTAATAAACAACAAAGGTAAACCTCCTCCAGAGCCTTGAAGTCGGTCTCGGAGCCTCTCCCTCGGAAGCGCGTGTTTGCCCTGCGTTGTTTTCCTTCCGATTCTCCCGGGACGGCGTTGCTCCTTTGGCTCCTGCGCTCGGATCCTCTTTCGAATTAAAGTTGAAAGGATGGGCGTCCCTTTTCCTTGGCGGGGAAGGGCGTTCGGCGTCTTGGCTCGCGCGGCTGTTTGGGCAGGAGGGAGGGAGGAGGTGGGACTCGTTGGCTGCCGAGGTGGTGTGTGTGTGTGTGTTTTCATGCGTGTGTGAGTGCGGATGCTCGCGTGGAAGGTTGTGTGTGCGGATTGATGTGGGTAAGCGTTTTAAGGTTTACGCATGGTGGTACAAGTATAGATGGAGAGAGGAAAATGTACGTAGACGAAGAGGCAAAGACATAATCCCCCTCCTCCTCTTTTCTCTTTCTGTCTGTCTCCTCTCTCCCCTCTCCCTCTCCCTCCCCTCCCTCCCTCCTTCCCTCCCTGTGTGTGTGTGACATTAAATACAATGAGAGATGAAAGAGAAAGAGGAAGATGAGTATGAAGAGAGAAGAGAGAGAGATGAGATAGAGAGAGAGAGAGAGAGAGAGATGAGAGAGAGAGAGAGAGAGAGAGAGAGAGAGAGAGAGAAGAGAGAGAGAGAGAGAGAGAGAGTGGGAGCGGCGCTCCAACCCTTCTCAAAACTAGCAACCTGTTGTCCCGTTCCAGAGCGTGGTGTTCTCCCTGGGCGGACGCTGTGGGCTTGCTGAGTATGGATCCACGTGCGGCCCTGACTCCCTGGACGGCTCTGCCCCTGATGTCGCCGGCCCTGAGGTCAGCCCTGTCGGCTATGACACACCACCGACCCGCTCACAGGCTCTCCCTCGTCGACATCTTCCAGGTTTGGGCGGCCGGAGGGGTATGAGGGGGGGGGGACGGGGGGTTTAATGTTTTTAAGGATTATCTTTGTTTGTTTTTAACGTTTTTTTTGTCGTTTTTTTAAATACAATTTGGAGAGCAGTTGATGTGGTAACC